AGCCAAGCTTTATAACCATATGGAGAAGAAGTTGGACTCAAGAACAACAAGTTGGTTATTTCATTGGATGTCCAGAGAAAACAAAGGGATACATATTTTATTGTCCCAAAAACACAACCAGGTTTGTGGAAACACAGAGTGCAGTGTTTATAGAATCTGAAGATGAAAGAATTGAAGATAACAATTTTGAGTTTGATGAAGTGATAACAGAAGTTGAGAATTCTATTGCAACAAACGCACAAAGTGTGATTGTGATCCTACCAAGTTTAAACTTGAGTAACAACCAAAATGATGCAGAAGAACAGATAGAAACAGATAAAATTCAAGAACAACAAATCGTGCAACCAGAAACTCGAAATGCAGAAGAAGGAAACAATGCATAGTTAAATATGGAACTGAGAAGATCATAGAGACCAAGGAAAAGAGCCTTACATGATGACTATCATGTCTATCTCCAAGAATCTGAAAATGATGTGAATGGTATAAAAGATCCCATTAATTTTAAGCAAGCAATGATGAGTGAGAAATGTGAAAACCGGTGGGCTGCTATGAAGTCAGAATTAAGCTCTATGGAAAAGAATAAAGTTTGGGAATTAGTGCCTTTACAGAAAGGATGCAAACCAATAGGTTGCAAGTGGGTTTTCAAAACCAAAAGGGACTCAAAGGGACAGATGGATGTAAAGACTACATTCTTGAATGGAAACCTAGAGGAAGAAATCTATATGTAACAACCAAAAGGTTTTATTCAAGAGAAGGGAGAAAATCTGGTTTGCAAGCTGTGTAAATCGATTTATGGCCTCAAACAAGCATCTAGACAGTGGTATATAAGGTTCAATGAAGTTGATAAGCTATATGGTTTCACAGAAAATATCTTGGATGAATGCATTTACATGAAAAGGAGTAGGAGTCATTTCATAATTCTAGTTCTCTATGTTGATGACATATTGTTAGCCTGCACTAATATGTTATTGTTGCATGACTGCAAAGCATTCCTTGCTAAGCATTTTGACATGACTGATTTGGGAGAAGCCTCTTATGTATTGGGAATCGAGATAAGCATAAATAGAAGCAAGGGTCTACTGGGACTTTCACAGAAAGCTTATATAGAAAAGATACTTAATAGGTTTAATATGTAAGACTGTGCAGGCACGGATGTGCTTATTTTGAAGAGAGACAAATTCAGTAGAGACCAGGCACCTAAAACTAACCAACAAAAGTTGGAGATGGCTAACAAGCCTTATGCCTCTCTAGTAGGGAGTTTAATGTATGCACAGGTCTGCACAAGACCAGATATAGCATTTCCTATAAGTGTATTAGGGAGATTTTAGTCAAACCCTGGACAAGCTCATTGGATTGCAAGTAAAATGGTTATGAGATATCTGCAGAGGACAAAGGGTTATAAGTTGGTTTTTAGAAGAAGTGACAGACTGGAATTGGAAGGTTTTGCAGATGCAAAGATGATCTAAAATCAACGCCAAGTTTTGTTTTTTCGATTTGCAGGAGCTGCAGTATCATGGAGAAGCATTAAACAACCTCTCACAGTTGCATCAACTATGTTAGCTGAATTTCTAGCCTATTATGAAGCAACCTCTCAAGCCATGTGGTTAAAGAATTTTATCACAAGCCTAAATGTGGTTGAATTAATTAACATACCTATACAACTATGGAATGACAATAGTGCAACGATTCTTTTTGTAAAAAGGAACAAGAGGACCAAAGCTTCAAGCATCCTAGAAGTTAAGTTCTTTACTGTTAAGGAGAAAATCAAAGATGGATACACTGCATTGGATCATATCAGCACAAATGACATGGTTGCTGATCCACTCACTAAAGGATTGCCTAATAGTGTGTTCCACAGACATGTGATTAGTATGGGATTAACAACTGAAATGAGTGGCTAAAATAGTGAGAGCATTGATCGGTTCATAATTGTATATTATTTCTTACCCTTCTAGCTTATGATTTGGTTATGTTTTTGAGTTAAACTTGTGCTTTTAATCCTTTTTGTGTTTATCTTTCAGTTAATTGAGCTTTAGGTAACAATGATGGCTTTGGAGAACATAATTCATGCAATTCAAGCATGTTAAGGCCTAATTTGGATGAATTGATGAAGAGCTTAAAGACAAATTCATTATGGCTACAGCCCCCTGCCACTATTTTGTGTAGGGAAACTAAATTGGATCATTCAATCACCAATCCCTGTGGAATCGACCTCGCACTTACATATGCTATACTACCAACGGTTCGTGCACTTGCGAGTATCACAAGTTGAGGATGCAGCTTAATCCATTTTGGTGGAGCTAAATCTACGCAACAAGCATCAGTGGGAGTTTGTTTTTTGTTCAGCATTTTGTTAATCAGCCCTTTTATTTTCGTTTTAATTTGCTTAACTAGTAGAGTTTCGATGAATGATTTCAGACTTGAGGTTAATAAAGTTTTATATTTAATTTAAATATTGGAATCGATTTTGTGATTGCTTGAACACATATTTATTGCAACATTGCTAGCATTAAGGCAAGCTATATTGGTTTTGTGTTCATGACAGTTGTGTCTTTGCTTGTTCAAAGATAGACCTTGGTAGACATTTGCAGGACAATAGAGTAATCATGATATAATTAAGCACTTCCAAGTTTTGTCATAATTATTATGAAGTTTTAGTCTTGAGCAAAGCTTCATGTAGTGTTGGAAGTGTGATTATAAAGGTTTTGATGATTGTATGTTCAATAAGCCTCGATAATTCCTTATAGTTTTCCAAAATTGACAGTTGCTTAGTGGGAATTTTTGTTTAGTTGAAACTCCACAAGGCCTTAAAGTGATCAGTGAAATTTGCTTTGTGATTATTGACCAAGTGGGAGACTGTAAGACAATAACTTGTCCTACATGATTATGGTCTTCTAATCCTATAATTAAGGACTCGGCAATTTACACTGATCTAGGAGTACAGGCTTAAACATGATTTGTGGTTCTTTTTCTAAGAGTGTTTTAATAGGAAACAAGAACCTAGAGAATTCCTAATTCCATATGGATTGAAACAAACTATCCTAATGCAAATTGGATTACTTAAGTGTTTCTTAATGGGCAGGAAACCTAAGTAAATGCATATAAATAGAGGTCCCTTCTCTAGTAGTTAATTACCTACTCATACAAAAATCTCACCCCATAAGAGAAAGAGCTTAAGGACTGCATAGATGAAGAAGATCTCTATCTTACCTACTAAAACCATGTCTCATCAAGCTTAGTATTATTGAATAAAAATATGAAATAGCTTACAAACAGTTCTTCGAACCATACTTTTCGTCCTATGCATAACACATATCCTCATACACAATACTAGATGAATCCTTCCTCCCTTCCGACTCAAGAAATGTTTTGGATATCCATAACCAAAGGTCCATCTTTCCTTCCAAATTTTTAAAGATTGGGTGGTATTCAATCAAAAAAATTAATACACTATAAAACTTCAAAACTGAAATTTAAAAACAAATCATAACACTTGTAGAAGCAAAATATCTCAGATCCTAGGTCAAATAATTAAGCCAATCAATTTAGGAATTATTTGACCTAATTGGGAGTTACCTAATTTAATTGGGATTTATTTGATTCTTGCCTTAATTAGGGATTTGATTTACCAATCTCGCCAAATCAGAGAAGAATAATTCATTTCCATATGTGGAATTATTCTTCTAAAACCCTAGCCTCCGAGGCCCTTATAAATAGATGGCTACTCACAAGGGTTGAGGTGCGTCTAAAATCCCATCTGAAACTCTGCAGAAATTCCCTCCCACAAACCCTAGCTGCCATAATTCTTTCTCTCTCACACAAGGCTCCGGCCACCTAGTTCTCCCCACGAGAGCTCCATACCCTTTTTAGCTATTGTTTCTCTACGAATCAATCGAACTAACTTAGGGATCAGAGGGCCTTTGGCCAACACTCCTCGGGTGTGGTCCTCTTATTCTAATATATTTTGCAGGAATAAAAAGACGACGAAAAAGAAAGGGAAATCAATCAATTGAATATTCTTGTGGGACGAAAATCGCTCCCACAACACTACTCTAACCGTAACAAAGTTAATTTATATAATTGCTAAATGGGTCACCTCTTCCGATTCCGGTTTCTCTTCAGAATGGATAGCACAAATCAAGTCTTTAAACACCTCAACATCATATCTCTCCTTTGCGTCTATCCCAGGAATCTTAAGCCACGTCAGATAAGCCCTACCATCAATCAGTCTAATAGACTGCAACGTGATACCACCGTGATTCCTACGTGTATATTCCACACATGAAGAATAACCGTAGTATTGTCCCTGAAAAAATCGGATAAAAACAAAATCAAGAGCTGGAAAACCACTATGTTTTCATTAAAGAAAATATTGTAGTTGCACTCACCTATGTGTATGATTTATAAATCATGTGGTGGAATCCACCAACGGCCATATTTGTGGTATATATTATGAGAGCTTGTGACCAATCATAGATCATCAAACCGATAAGATTTCAAATCTATATGAAACGCCACATTAATCTTGAAAAATTCATTCCGGCCCGGGTTGTGCTTAGGCCCTAAGTAGGCAACAAAAGGAAATCTTAAGAATACAACTATTGAACACGACTTGAATTTCCTCAAAACGTTTTTTGTTTAATTACTGTGAGAGAATTATGTTTGTGTGAATGGCATGTTTTTTTTTGGCAAAAAGAAATACAAATGACATGTTTTTTTTATATTTTTAAATATTAATAAAAATTGAGGAATTCAACGCCCTACTCCATTGCCCAAAAGCTAAAACAAAATAGACGACGCCCCATCTTAAACAAGATTATTTCATGTGCAAGGGTCCCACAAGGTCAGGTAGGCAGGGGAATCCATGCATTATCGAGCACATTACATTAAAAGTTGCAATTGAACTTGATGAGTCATGATCTACTACACAAAGGTAGACCTAAAAGATGAACAGACATTTGCTTTCTCAGTTTATCAAAGTAAAAAATCTCAGCTCCATTGGCTGAGAAGCCTCTTTTGCCTTTATTTTATGGAAATATGGTATCAGTGGAGATCGAGTTAGCATGTGGCAAAGGTATCATTTTAACTATTTACCCCTACAAACCCAAAACGAATCAAACAACATGGTTGTCAATATTTCCTCATTTGAACATCCGGATCAAATAAAAATAAAGAGATACAAAATACACAACAGCTTCTGTAGTTGTATGGTAGGGCCCTCAGTTCATCACTTCATCTTCTCCATCATGAAAAGAAAAGAAAACCCTGATGTGCCATTTGAGAGGTTTATAATAATGGAGGCAGCCTAAACGTGCCCATGTGCCTACCATTGTAGACAGCAGTAGTCAAATGGGATATACTTTTGTGCCATTACAAACGTGCACGACTCTTTTAGGAATTAGGAAAATTAAGCACCAAACTTGGGAACTTTGGCAGTGGAGATTTGTGCAAGGAAATGCTCGGCCACAATTCGACGTTGGATTTTCCCCGTTGCAGTTTTAGGAAGAGAGTCAGTGATGAACACCTTCTTGGGTACTTTGAAAGAAGCCAGATTCTTCTTGCAAAATCGCAGCACTTCTTCCTCGTCTATGCTTGCGCCTTCTCTTGGGATTATGGCACAGTTAATCTGCAGATTACCACATATTGAATAAATAATTAAGAACAATTACAACCAGAAACACAAATACAAATAATATCATATAATGTAGGCACCTACCTCTTCACCATATTTATCATCAGGAACTCCAAAGGAAACTCCTTGCTCAATTCCTGGATGTGACAAAAGCACTGAATCTACTTCAATGGGTGATATCTTCTCCCCTGAGACAATCAAACAAACACATTGTGAGCTAAACTTATCTCACGCATTTTATTAAACACTTGGGCTTCAGTTTCTATTAATTCATTACCTCCGCGGTTAATTAGCTCCTTGATTCGACCCACGAGGCTCAAAAACCCATCAGAATCCAAAACGCCGATATCTCCAGTATGAAACCACCCGAACAAGAAAGCCGCTTTGTTGGCTTCTGGGTTGTTCTTATACCCCTTGGTCACATTGGGTCCTCTGATACACACCTCGCCGTTCACGCCCTCTGGCTGAACCAAACCCTTCTCGTCCAAAATCGCCAGCTCCTGACCCACGGGTCGCCCGACCGACCCGGGCTTGTGGGGCCCGTCTTCGGGCAACGGATTCGAACACATCAAATGGGTCGCCTCTGTCATCGCATAAGCCTCCAAGACCGGCGCTCCAAACGACTCTTCCAGCCGCTCCAATATTGACGGAGCCAACGAGGCGCTGCAGCTTCGAATGAACCGGAGCTTCGGGTATTTCGGTTCGGGTTTGCTGCCATGGCGGTCGAGGATGATCTGGTGGATGGTGGGTACCGCGGTATACCACGTGGCGTTGTACGAGAGCATGTCGGCCCAAAATGGCGAGGCGGAGAATCGGCCCGCGGCTGGGAGAGGCACGGAGGCTCCGGCGATGAGTGAACTCAGTAACGCGGCGATTAACCTGTGCACGTGGAACAGAGGGAGGACGATGACGGTCGAGTCAGACTCTGCGAGTTTGTAGACCGATTTGATGTTCTGGACCGACGAGGCCAAATTGAGCTGGGTCAAGGGCACTCCCTTGGGTCGGCTCGTGGTGCCGGACGTGTGGAGGAAGAGTGCCACGTCGGACACGTCGTTGACGAGTTGCGAGACCAAGTCGGGGCTCGACTCCGCGGCGGAAGAGAGAGTCACGTGGCTGGTGGCGCTGGCCAGGTTGGCGGTCACGTGAGGGATGTTGAGCTTGGTAGCCGCCGCTTTAGCGGCTTGAATCGGATCCTCCGGCGTGATCAGAAGCTTCGATTCTGAGTCGGAGAGGTAGAACTCGAACTCCTCAGCCGTGTAAGCAGCGTTCAGCGGCGCCGCCGTGGCTCGGCACCGAACCACCGCCAAAAACATCACTACAAACTACAGAAACAAACACAATCTTATTTAATTTTTTTAAATGAAAAACTTGTTTGGTTCCCGAGAAAGTTGAGGAAAGTGAATGGAAAAGAAACTGTTGCAATACAATACCTCGACGGTGTTGGGGAAGGTGAGCGCAACGGTGTCGTTTGGGCCAATTCCGGAGGCGATTAAGAGAGAGGCGGCGTGATCGACGAGCTCTTGCAGTCGCGCGTGGGTCAAATCGAACTTTCCAGAAACGGAAAGCGCGCGGCGGTTCGGAAACTCCGAGGCCACCTTCTTCAACAAACCTGTTAGAGTTTGATTTTCCATTTTTTCAATAAGATAAAATTAAGAGAAATAATTAATGGTTTGAGGAGGAAGAAGAAGTGAGGTTTGAATTTATAGGATTGTGGAGAGGGAAGGTGCGGTGGGATGCGGTGGAGGCAGGAACCGGAGGAGGATGAGTGGACACGTGTCTCACTGACGACGGTCAGTTTGAGTGTGCCGCACCTCGAGAGGTGTAGTTCCACGTATCTGCGCCGTGTCGTTTTGTATGACACGTCATCGAGTTGCTGGGGTGGGAGACGTGTTTGGGCCCACCTATGGGATTGTTAGGAATGATATGGATCAAATCGGAGGTGGATTTACCATTCCCATCCCTATACCTGTTTTTCATACTTTCAATATTCATATCGAGAATTCCTCATTTTCACTTTCATTAGGGAATGGATTTCCCGATCCGTCCCATTACGAAAGAAAAAATCAATATAAAACAACTTTGTTGAAAGAAAAAAAAATAAAATTAGGATAATATAATGAATATATATATAAAGCAATATAAGAATGTTTACATATTGATTGGAAGTTAACTAAATATATAAGTAGTGTGGCTTAAGATTCGTATAAATTATATAAATATACGTCATAATAATAGGAAATATAAAATTTTGTCAACATAATCACTCCAATATCATATATATTTATATATATTGATGGATTCTTCAAATAAAAAATAATTTTATTTGAGGGACACTCTTTAGGGTTTCCTACAAATATTTTTTCAACGATTCGAACAATCTATTTTTTAAGTCTAAATTCATAGATCATCCTTGCAAAAAATTAGACAAATCGAAAATCGTTTCGACATCTAATTGTGTCATACAAAATCAATGAATACGATTCTTTAAGAAAGTACTAAAATTTCAATAATTCAATTGAGTGGTCAAATGATATTGAATTCAAGTGATTTTTTTTATTTTATTTTATTTTATTTTTATTTTTTTTTAGAGATGATCTTTGAATAAATATCTATAAAATAGATGTTTGGATTAGTGAAATACAATATGAAGTGGGCCTATCCCACAAAAACCCTTACCCGCAAAAAAAATTGCCATCCCTAAATCCAGTGGGGATATATTAAAGGTGGGAGGAGAGTTCGAAATAGTCGTTGGGGTTATGAGTTTGCTTGTGTTGTGGGCCAGCCCATAAGACATACATGATGAATAAGAACTCTATCAAGTGTTTTACGTTAATTTTGCTTCTCTCTCTTTTTCTTGTTTTATCTTTGTTGTTGTACTTTTAGCTTTACTTTTTTAAGGACCTTTCTTATTGAGAGGGGCGATAGCATACTAAACTCACACACACTACACGGATGCTAGGACTCGAACCCAAGATCTTGCCTGAGGGAGTAAATACTCCAAACCACTACATTAGTGGGTCCTTTGCAACTTTACTTGATCTTGATAGACTTGATTATTAGGGTAGCTCAGATCACAAACTCAAAATTTAAAGTCCAAATTCTCATATTTGGATCTTAAGGTGCTGGTCGTGAAATTTATAAATTGTTTGCTCCAATACATATTACTCAATTTTGAAGTTTTTGGGTTTTGAGACAGTCGTCGTTGTAGGACACACGCGGTTAGGGATGGCAATGGGTCGAATCGCGGGTGGGTATGCCATTCCCATCCCCATCCCCATTAAGCTTTTTTCCCCCCATCCCCGCATTCATACCCGCAATATTCTAAGCGGGGATTCCCCATCCCCACCTTCATTGGGGAACGGGTTCCCCTACCCGCCCCATTATTGAAGAAAAACCAATAAAAAAAATACTTTGTTGAACGAGAAAAAAAACGCTATAAGCGCAAACATATGTATCAATTCAATTGTTTTTATCTAAAAATCTAGACTATATTAAAAAATTAATACATATCAAAATTACATGTCCAAGACATGTTCATCATTATAGAGGTAGTCATCACACATCTCAATCACACAAAGTGATGCTTTCAACTTCTTCATTGTAAGATCCCTGACACAAATAAAACAAAATATAAATTTTACAATCATGTAGGGTAGGATATTAAACATCATTATCAATTATATAATATAATTCATATTTTACCTCATTCTCAATATCATTATCAGATGTGCAGCCTTGGGACAATGTTGTAGAGTTTGAACCTATTCACAATAAACGTGAATAAATACTAAGTAATTACAATTACATTTAATAGTAAATTTATATAACATATTTTCAATACCTTTTATCTCATTCCATAGCCAATCTCGAGCACACATCAAGGCCTCCACA